AGAAATGGTACCGAGAGTGCAAAAAAATAAGACAAAGTCTTTGAAAGCAATTTGGGTGCAAGAAAACTGAAAAAGTGCTGGCAAAAGACCAATGCTCCTTCCAGTAAATATACACAATTTGTTCCATCCTGTAGGGCCATCCTTAAAAAATGGTTTTTTGCAGTAACTCCGACCCAGAATTTTCAAGGTGGGTAGGTAGGTTGATTTTTTTTTTTTTTTTTTTATTGAACACTGTACTCCCAAATAAACATGGAATTTCAAAATGCTGGAACAATATAATTATGCTTTGATAATCTGGTAACAATTAATAAATTGATAACTGAATTCTAATTAAATAATACCTACATTTTTTTTCTTCTATTAAAGTGACATTATGCCCATCTAATGGTACATAGTGAGTGAACAGGTGAGAGTCAAAATAAATTTTCATTTTGACATAATTCCTTTGGATTTAATAATTTACTTCAAATAAACAATAAATAGCGGCCTGATCCAAACGAAATTTCTGTAAATATCATTTAGAATTTACCTGTAACGTTCAATTTATAAAAAGAGTGGGGCAGTCTTTTTATATTTTAGCCAAATTTTAAATATTTTCCTAAACATTTTCCAATATAAACAGTTGGTCAAACATCATTTTAACAGTCAATCTTTTGAAATATAAAGTCAATTCAGCTCAACTTGACTATGAAAATATGAGCATAATGTCACTCTAACCTTTAAAGAACAAAAACAAAGCACAAGGCATAATTTTCTGATTAAAAAAAAATAAATTTTTATCCAGACCATGAAAAAATCTTTTGAGTAGGGTCAAATTTTGTGAGTCAGTCGCGTTACTGCAACAAAACATTTTTTTAAGGATGGCCTAGTCCTACTTTAATCTACTGCCGTTAACATTTTATAAATATATTATATTATAATCATAATATAATTATATTATTAAACATATGGCATAGAATGTTTAATAAAATTGAAAGAAAAGTTCATAATCATATGTGACGCGCTCAGCGATTTTTGGCCCAATTGAGTTTTTTCATCATTGTGAGAAAAACGCTTGCAAAGTCACGCGAGTTTACATGTGTTAATTTTTCATACTTTCCTTTAAAACACGCGTAATTATTAGAATTTGTCAGCGAGAGGAGTCAGCAAATATTGTCACTTTAACTACTTTTTTGACAACCCTTATCAATTTTACGCATGATTTTTAGGTTTCCCCGTTTCTATATTTTAGAATAAATTTATATGCAGCCCGTAGGTGGACTGTCTAGCGAGGCGTAGTATGTATACACAGTACACAAGCGAAGTGTTGTAAAAGTTGTCCGCTATATATTGTGTTTATATAAACATTAGGATTATTTTGAGGTTAGGATAAATATCAAGGTATTCAACTTTTTTTAACAATACTACTGTTGAAAATATCATTCTGTTAGTGATTGTAAATTCTTATTTTGGTGTTTAATTGGGGTACTAATGCCGGAAAGTATGAAACAAAATGGTGGAACGACCACTGACCTCAAATTTGTTTATAAACATTTCCCATGGAGCTAAATATAGATATATATTTTGTGACATTCGATTTACTGTCAAAATGAATTTCTTTTAAATGATGGCAAGCCCACATGCTCAATAATATACCGTAGTAAAATACCATATGAGGAAACTAGTTTTTTAAATCAGGAATTTGTTGATGAATAAAATGTTTCATCAGTTATATTTTGGGGAATTCCGAATTGAATGACAGCAGCCCCCTACGATGTTTATTTCAGAAGAAGTGATGATAATTTTGATGATGATAATTGATGATGAGAATATACATTTAGATTTTGCTCTATATGATGAAAATGTTAAACCAAAAACCTTGAAATAGAGCCAATTCATAATAGTACACCTTCAAGACCTTGTGATAGAGAATATGTATTACAGGAAAATTTTAAATCAAATACTTGTGGCTGTACAAGACTTTTTAATGGGAAACCTTGTTCAGAAGGCAATTGAATGGGGAGAAGTATTAATTATAGATTGTCATGCCTTGAGAAAGTCTAAAGAGGAAACTAGACCTTTTAATTAAAGTTCAGTATTTCATCATAGAAAAACCCCAGATTCAAAATCTTCTGGGAAATGTAAGGCAGCGGCCACATCAAACTTATTTTTTTGCAGGGTTTGCTGTTTGTCGCACTTTTTTTTGCTTTTGTCCATGGTTTCACAGAAAAACTATTGACTCTATTGCGAAATCATTGGATACGACTTTTATTGTACCAAGAACACATGGCAATAAAAGGCATGGTACCACATAATGCGCGGTTACCTTAGAACAACTCAAGCTGTAAAGCATTTTATTGTCACATATGGAAGTCAATATGGATTACCTTTACCCAGGTAGAATGCCAAATTACAGAAGTGAAAAAAATGTGCTTCTGCCAAGTGACAAACTAAAGCTTGATATATACCAGTTGTACTGTACCGCATTTGACTCTGACAATGAAAGGTTTCTTACAAAAAAATCAGTTTTGGGTCCACTTTTAAGAGAATCTGGGTTGGAAACCAGTGTCCAAATATAATGATTATGAAACCCTCCACTGATTTGTGTCTGAAATGCCAGAAACATGTGTATAAAATTTCACATGGTGGAAATCTCTCAGAAGAGGAGAAGGAAATGCTCCTTTCTTGTTATTATGAACATGTGAAAAATGTGAAAACACAGAGAGACTATTACAGAAACATATGTGAAATTTCTAAGATAGTGGTACCTGTATGAAGAAATTAGCCCACTGTGTCGCAATAGTGAGTTTGCATGTCCTCTGCCAAATGTGGCAAGGCCGTGCAAAAAAGTAAAGTTTGAGAAGTAGAGGATCTTTGTTTATTTTTTACGAGTATGTTATTTATCTCTCATCTGCCACTCGTGAAATATTTATTTTCATACCAGTCAATGAAAATGAATCCTGTATTTATAGAAGAAACTTGAAATATCCTGTATTTATATAACACTGAGAAGTGAGAAGATGCAATAATTTCATGAACAATGAACATTAATATAATTTTACAAAACTGTATGGAAAACATAGTTTGGCAGGGCTTTACTTCCAGTCCTGTGCATGATAGGAAGTTTATCACATGTTTAACAAAAGGATATGGAATGAGTGTAAATTTTAAAAGCGAAGTCATGCTATTCCTTTTCATCAATTTTTTATTGGACTGAGAGAATAATTTCAATTTGGAACCTTTGTAGTTAAAAAGCAAGGTTGAGCATTACTTTTTTCATTTTCTCAATGGACTGAGGAAATATTGATCATTGATTTAATGATTTAAGGGTGAAACACACACACAAAATACCAGTTATGGTGAAGTTTTTAGAGAAAATTTCGTTATTTTTGTTACCATGGCAACCAATATTTTACATTTTTGTGATCATATTATGACTAAATTTTTGTCTTGCATTATGTGTATAGGTTGTATTGCTAACATGTTAGATATATGATTTAGGAGTTGAGTGAATGCTAAAATGCTATATAGCTTAGAATTGAAAAATGACTGAATTTCTGTGCTTTCTAGAATGGCATTATTTACTTTGGAAGATGTTAATTTTGGCATCTGTAGGTAAAAAAGCAAGGTTGAGCATTACTTTTTCATTTTCTCAATGGACTGAGGAAATTTGATCATTGATTTAATGATTTAAGGGTGAAACACACACACAATATACCATTATGGTGAAGTTTTAGAGAAAATTTCGATATTTTTGTTACCATGGCAACCAATATTTTATATTTTTGTGATCATATTATGACTGAATTTTTGTCTTGCATTATGTGTATAGGTTGCATTGCTAACATGTTAGATATATGTTTTAGTAGTTGAGTGAATGCTTAAATGCTATATAGCTTAGAGTTGGAAAAATTACTGAATTTCTGGGCTTTCTAGAATGGCATTATTTACTTTGGAAGATGTTAATTTTGGCATCTGTAGGTAAAAAAGCAAGGTTGAGCATTACTTTTTCATTTTCTCAATGGACTAAGGAAATTTTGGTCATTGATTTGATGATTTGGGGGGTGAAACGGACACACAAAATACCATTATGGTGAAGTTTTAGAGAAAATTTCGATATTTTTGTTACCATGGCAACCAATATTTTATATTTTGTGATCATATTATGACTGATTTTTTTGTCCTGCATTATGTGTATAGGTTGCATTGCTAACATGTTAGATATATGTTTTAAGTAGTTGAGTGAATGCTAAAGTGCTATATAGCTTAGAATTGGAAAAATGATTGCCGTTCTGGGCATTCTAGAATGTCATTATTTACTTCCGAATTTGTTAAATTAAGCATTTGTAGATAAAATCATAAGCTTTCACTGTTTTTTTTTTTTTTAATTCCTTAATAGTTGCAAACATGTTTATTATTATTTTTATTACTTTGGAATAAAAAATTCATGTTACATGCAATAATGTTGTATTAAATGTTTTTACAGTTTTTTTTTTTGTTGCCATGGCAACCAGTTTGGAATTTTTTTTTCGTAATTCTTATATCAACTATTCATATACTTCATACTGGGATGAATTTTATTATTGTTTATTATTTTGTCATGCATTAGTATGGCATCTACTTGTGTAGATGTTTCAATAAATTTCAACTCAAAACTACATATTTCGTTGTTATGGTGATGTTAGGAAAATCACAATATTTCCTTGAATAACAGAAATTTTCAAAAAATATTGGTTCTCCAGCAATTAAGCAGATACTGTTCTACCTGAAACTGGTCAAAACTCATTTTCGCCCAGATACCCATTTGGGCCAAAAATCGCTGAGCTTGTCACATATTGCTCTTCTTTATTGACATTTGCAGTAAATATTAAATATAAATACGGACAAGTGAACATTGAGTACGGACAAGTAAATTTCTTAGGTTACTTGTCCGTGGACAAGTACAATTTTCTGAGATTTTGCCGGCCCTGTTATGATATTATTCTTATTTCATGTGCATAGTGTCACTAATATTATCTTTATACTCACAACTAGTAAAAAAAATCATGTTTCTATAGATTATAAGATGTTGGAATATATATGAAGAAATTACCGAACTTTTAACAGTTAATTGTTTTATAATTTCAGGAACAAAAATGGAAATTTAGAATGTAGACTGGGCGAATATGACACTTACCATGTGAAGAATTTACATGAATTACCTTCATGAAGTCACAAATACAGGGAACAGAAGAGGTAAAATTGTTCAGTTCCTATCTCCCATTGTTTAAATTTCAGTATCATTAAAAAAATTAATCGTTGTCTTCCTTTGTTTATATTTTAGTCTAAATTTTTAGCAGAATTATCTCGCTATGGACACTTGGGCATAAACAATTTCATGTGAGTGTAACTTGCTACATATCACGAGGGATTTCAACTAAACATTCATAGAATAAGTTTAGTCAAGTGCCTTGGCAGATATTATTGGAATTTTCTCATTTGAACCATTTTTGGCAGTATTATGGTCTTTTATGGATTTTTTACCCTAAGTCTGCTGACAGCCTGGAACCATTCATTGTCTGAACTGTCTGCTATTTAATCAGTACTTGTATCAAAATTTTCCATTGGTTAATCAATGGTTTTGTCCAGTCTAAAAGATGGACAAGTCCATGTAAGAATGACTAAGGCCATCCTTAAAAAAATTTTGTTTGCAGTAACCCAACCCAGAATTTTCAAGGTGGGTAGGTAGGTTGTTTTTTTATGCCCCCGCCATGTAATGGCCGGGGCATATAGTGTTATCCTGTTCCGTCATTCCATCATTCCGTCATCATCAGTTTTCCGTTCATTATCTTAGTAACGGTTGCACATATTCAAATCAAATTTGACATATGGATATGTCATGAGAAAATACAGGTCAAGTTCGAATTTGGTCATGGTTCGATGATTTTTTGCAGAGTTAAGCCCCTTTTACTTTGAAAATAATATGAAATTTTCAGTTTCATTCATTATCTGCCCAAGGGCAACACATTCAACTCAAATTTGACATATGGATATGTCATCAGAAAATACAGGTCAAGTTCGAATTTGGTCATGGTTCGATGATTTTTGGCAGATTATGCCCCTTTTACTTTGAAAATAATCTGAAATTTTCAGTTTCTGTTCATTATCTCCCCAACGGTACAACACATTCAACTCAAATTTGACATATGGATATGTCATCAGAAAATACAGGTCAAGTTCAAATTTGGTCATGGTTTCGATGATTTTTGGCAGATTATGCCCCTTTTACTTTGAAAATAATGTGAAATTTTCAGTTTCTGTTTATTATCTCCCCAACAGTACAACACATTCAACTCAAATTTGACAGATGGATATGTTTTTGGAATGCCCAGGCCCCAGTTCGAATTTGTTCATTGTTCAATGATTTTTGGCAGAGTAATGCCCCTTTCACTTTGAAATTAATATGAAATTTACAGTTTTCTGTTCATTATCTACCCAACAGTGTTACATATTTCAACTCAAATTTGACATATGGATATGTCAAAGGAATGGGCAGGTCAAGTTGGAATTTGGTCATGGTTCGATGATTTTTTTGGCAGAGTTATGTCCCTTTCACTTTGAAAATAATATAGATACATCTTAGGAATAAGCAGTGTAAGTTTTGAATTTGGTCGTGGTTCAATGATATTGGACAAACTTATCTTTCTTGAATGTTGGAATAATTTTGAACTTTCAGCACTCATACTTTTGTGGAAATGTATGTAGCCATTATTTTGGCTACAAATATGAAATATGCTATTTTCAAAAGGTTGAGACTGAATAATTTCAGTGCCTTGAACATTGTATGAAAATGGTTTGTGTTAACATTGAAAAGTTTTAAGGGCTTTGAACTTAAAATGAAAACAATAATTTTGTGCAAACAAATTGGAACTAAATATTATAACATCTGAAATTTTGGCTGCATGCGGGGGCATCCGTGGCATGATGACACACTTCTAGTTTTTCTTTATTGAACTGTACTTGGAAGAACAATATATGCTTTGATAATCTGGTAACAATTAATAAATGGATCATTGAATTCTAATTTAATAAAGAACTTACATTTATTTTCTTCTATTAACCTTTAAAAGAACGAAAACAAAGCACAAGGCATAATTTTTCTGAGACCAAAAAAAATTTTTTTTATCCAGATCATGAAAAAAAATTTGAGTAGGGGCAAATTTTTTGAGTTGGTCGAGTTACTGCAAACATACATTTTTGTTAAGGATAGCCTAAGATATTTAGCTAAATAAGGGTTAAAGCTACAGCCTACATGCCTCCAGGTGAGGAATAAGAATCAGAAATGGCTAAATTGCTGGCTTTCAATTATTTGTCATCATTGCTAAATGTGTGAATTTTCTCTGGCCTTTTTAAGGGACCATGGATTCTTTCATGCAAGAAAGCTATTTAGCTAGCTTATGGAATGTAAATTGTTTCTACTTGGGTGACCTTTTGTGCTTAAAATAATGCACCAACGGGGCAACTGAGGCTTTTTTAGTTCACATGTCACAAAGTGACAGGATGAGCTTTTGTGATCGCTTTTCGTTCCGGCGTCGTCCGTCTGTCGTCCGTCCGTAAAACTTTTGCTTTAAATGACATCTCCTCATAAAACCACTGAGCCAATTTCATCCAAACTTCACAGGAATGTTCCTTTTGGTGGTCACCTTAAAAAATTGTTCAAAGAAATTTAATTCCATGCAGAACTCTGGTTGCCATGGCAACCGAAAGAAAAAATCTTTAAATATCTTCTTTTAAACAACCCTAAGAGCTAGAGCTTAGATATTTGGCATGAAAACATCTTCTAGTGAGTGTCTACCAAATTTGTTCAAATAAAAGCCCTGGGGTCAAAATTGGCCCCACCCCAGGGTGTCATTTGATTTTCCCTATATGCATATAGTAAAAAATTTAAAAATCTTCTTTTAAAGAACCCAAAGAGCTAGAGCTAAGATATTTGGCATGAAAAATCTTCTAGTGAGTGTCTACCAAGTTTGTTCAAATAAAAGCCCTGGGGTCAAAAAATTGATTTTCCCTATATGCATATAGTTAAAAACATAAAAAATCTTCTTTTAAAGAACCGAAAGAGCTAGAGCTAAGATATTTAGCATGAAAACATGTTCTAATAGGTGTCTACCAAGTTTGTTCAAATAAAAGCCCTGGGGTCAAAATTGGCCCCGCCCCGGGGGGTCATTGATTTTTTCTATATGCATATAGTAAAAACTTTTAAAAAATCTTCTTTAAAAGAACCCAAAGAGCTTGACCTAAGATATTAAGCATGAAACATCTTCTAATAAGTGTCTACCAAGATTGTTCAAATAAAAGCCCAGGGATCTTCTTTTAAAGAACTCAAAGAGCTATGGCTAAGATATTGAGCATCAAACATGTTCTAATGGGTGTCTACCAAGTTTGTTCAAATAAAAGCCCTGGGGTCAAAATTGGCCCGCCCCAGGGGGTCATTGATTTTTCCCTATATGCATAAAGTAAAAACTAAAAAAATCTTCTTTTAACCCATTACTTCATATACACGCCTTTTAACGCCTTTTTCACCCCCCCTTTTTTTGTTGTCTCAAATGATGAAAAATGCCTTATTTAGGCCCCAAACACTTGTTTTTGTTTGAGAAATGTTGTTAAAAAAAGTGACCTCTTTTTCGGCGCGGCCCCCCAACCAAAAGATACATCAGGGGGTTGCCAGAAGGGGCATGTGCCCCCTTCTGTTTGGGGGGGGGTTTGAAGGGGGGCGGAGTCCCCCTCATCGCCAAGAAAATTTTGGACTTGTGAGAGGCTGTAAATGACCCCAGATTGATCATAAGGTAACATGTAACCAACGTTGAAAAGCATTTGACTCTATCTCAATCCATTGCGAAGTTGCAGCACTTTGAAATCAATTTTGATGGAAAAAATCAACGCAAAATAGTGATTTTTGGCAATTTTGAGATGTCCCCTCGTTGCCATGGTAACAGAAAATTTAAGCCTGATCATGTTGTTGCAAGGGCAATGGTCCAGTCAACATTTGTGCCAAGTTTGATTAGTGTTGAAGCAGTTTTTATAGTATTATAGCAATTTGAACTTGTAACGGGAGACTTTTCAATGAAAACAGCCATTTTTCACAAAATGCTCATGAAGTAATGGGTTAATGAAAAAAATAAAAAAATCTACAAAACAACAATTTTTCTTCAAATTTATATGACAGGCCATGTTTAAACATGAAAAAACGCGATTTAGGGCAATTTCAAGTATTTTCATCATTTTCTGTTAACCCATTACTTCATATACACGCCTTTTAACGCCTTTTTCACCCCCCCCCCCCCTTTTTTTGTTGTCTCAAATGATGAAAAATGCCTTCTTTAGGCCCCAAACACTTGTTTTTGTTTGAGAAATGTTGTTAAAAAAAGTGACCTCTTTTTCGGCGCGGCCCCCCAACCAAAAGATACATCAGGGGGTTGCCAGAAGGGGGATGTGCCCCCTTCTGTTTGGGGGGGTTTGAAGGGGGGCGGAGTCCCCCTCATCGCCAAGAAAATTTTGGACTTGTGAGAGGCTGTAAATGACCCCAGATTGATCATAAGGTAACATGTAACCAACGTTGAAAAGCATTTGACTCTATCTCAATCCATTGAGAAGTTGCAGCACTTTGAAATCAATTTTGATGGAAAAAATCAACGCAAAATAGTGATTTTTGGCAATTTTGAGATGTCCCCTCGTTGCCATGGTAACAGAAAATTTAAGCCTGATCATGTTGTTGCAAGGGCAATGGTCCAGTCAACATTTGTGCCAAGTTTGATTAGTGTTGAAGCAGTTTTTATAGTATTATAGCAATTTGAACTTGTAACGGGAGACTTTTCAATGAAAACAGCCATTTTTCACAAAATGCTCATGAAGTAATGGGTTAATGAAAAAAATAAAAAAATCTACAAAACAACAATTTTTCTTCAAATTTATATGACAGGCCATGTTTAAACATGAAAAAACGTGATTTAGGGTAATTTCAAGTATTTTTCATCATTTTCTGTTAACCCATTACTTCATATACACGCCTTTTAACGCCTTTTTCACCCCCCCCCCTTTTTGTTGTCTCAAATGATGAAAAATGCCTTATTCAGGCCCCAAACACTTGTTTTTGTTTGAGAAATGTTGTTAAAAAAAGTGACCTCTTTTTCGGCGCGGCCCCCCAACCAAAAGATACATCAGGGGGTTGCCAGAAGGGGGATGTGCCCCCTTCTGTTTGGGGGGGGGTTTGAAGGGCGGCGGAGTCCCCGTCATCGCCAAGAAAATTTTGGACTTGTGAGAGGCTGTAAATGACCCCAGATTGATCATAAGGTAACATGTAACCAACGTTGAAAAGCATTTGACTCTATCTCAATCCATTGAGAAGTTGCAGCACTTTGAAATCAATTTTGATGGAAAAAATCAACGCAAAATAGTGATTTTTGGCAATTTTGAGATGTCCCCTCGTTGCCATGGTAACAGAAAATTTAAGCCTGATCATGTTGTTGCAAGGGCAATGGTCCAGTCAACATTTGTGCCAAGTTTGATTAGTGTTGAAGCAGTTTTTATAGTATTATAGCAATTTGAACTTGTAACGGGAGACTTTTCAATGAAAACAGCCATTTTTCACAAAATGCTCATGAAGTAATGGGTTAAAGAACCAAAAGAGTTAGAGCTAAGATATTTAGCATGAAACATGTTCTAATAAGTGTCTACCAAGTTTGTTCAAATAAAAGCCCTGGGGTCAAAATTGGCCCTGCCCCAGGGTTCATTGATTTTCCCTATATGCCTATAGTAAAAACTTAAAAAAATCTTCTCTTAAAGAACCCAAAGAGCTAGAGCGAGGATATTAAGCATGAAACATCTTCTTATCAGTGTCTACCAAGAGGGGTCATTGATTTTCCCTATATGCATATAGTAAAAACTTAAAAAATCTTCTTTTAAAGAACTCAAAGAGCTATGGCTTAGATATTTAGCATCAAACATGTTCTAATAGGTGTCTACCAAGTTTGTTCAAATAAAAGCCCTGGGGTCAAAATTGGCCCCTCCCCGGGGGTCATTGATTTTCTTTATATGTTTATAGCAAAAACTTAAAATCTTCTTTGAAAAAACCCAAAAAGCTAGAGTTTAGATATGAAGCATGAAACATCTTCTAGTAAGTGTCTACAAAGTTTGTTCAAATAAAAGCCCTTGGGTCAAAACTGGCCCCGCCCCAGGGGTGTCATTGTTTTTAACTATATGTGTATAGTTAAAACTTTAAAAAATCTTCTTTTAAAAAACCCATTGAGCTTGAGCTTAGATCTTTAGCATGAAACATCTTCTCATGGGTGTACCAAGTTTGTTCAAATAAAAGACCTTGGGTCAAAATTGGCCCGCCCCAGGGGGTCATTGATTTTCCCTATATAGTAAAAACTTAAAAAATCTTCTTTTAAAGAACTCAAAGAGCTAGAGCTAAGATATTTAGCATCAAACATGTTCTAATAGGTGTCAACCAAGTTTGTTCAAATAAAAGCCCTGGGGTCAAAATTGGCCCGCCCCGGGGGTCATTGATTTTCCTTATATGTGTATAGCAAAAACTTAAAGAAATCTTCTTTGAAAAAACCCAAATAGCTAGAGTTTTGATATTAAGCATGAAACATCTTTTAGTGAGTGTCTACAAAGTTTGTTCAAATAAAAGCCCTGGGGTCAAAATTGGCCCCGCCCAGGGGTTCATTGATTTTCCTTAGATGTGTATAGCAAAAACTTAAAATCTTCTTTGAAAAAACCCAAATAGTTAGAGTTTAGATATTAAGCATGAAACATCTTCTAGTAAGTGTCTACAAAGTTTGTTCAAATAAAAGCCCTGGGGTCAAAACTGGCCCCGCCCCAGGGGTGTCATTGTTTTTAACTATATGTTTATAGTAAAAACTTAAAAAAATCTTTTAGAAAGCCCAATGAGCTAGAGCTTAGATGTTTAGCATGAAACATCATCTTATGGGTGTGTGTGTGTGGGGGGGGGCTATATACAGGTGAGCGACCTCAGGGCCATCATGGCCCTCTTCTCTTGTTTACCTTTCCATTGCTTTTTTATGCTCCCCGAAAAAATTTCGGGGGAGCATATAGTCGCCACCTCCGTCCGTCCGTCCGTCCCCTTTTCTTGTCCAGGACATAACTTTGAAACAACAAGAGGTATCAACATGAAACTTTGTAGGTAGATAGATCTCATTAAGTAGGTGTGCAGTGCACAAGAACCGTAACTCTGCCTTGCCTAATTTTTGAATTATTCCCCTTTGTTTATTTTTACACTTTGAACTTTGTCCGGGACATAACTCTAAAAGTATAAGAGGTATCAACATGAAACTTTGTAGGTAGATAGATCTCATTGAGTAGGTGTGCAGTGCACAAGAACCGTAACTCTGCCTTGTCTAATTTTTGAATTATCCCCCTTTGTTTATTTTACACTTTGAACTTTGTCCGGGACATAACTCTAAAAGTATAAGAGGTATCAACATGAAACTTTGTAGGTAGATAGATCTCATTGAGTAGGTGTGCAGTGAACAAGAACCTTAACTCTGCCTTGCCTAATTTTTGAATTACCCCCCTCTGTTTATTTTTACACTTTGAACTTTGTCCGGGACATATTTCTTAATGTATAAGAGATATCAACATGAAACTTTGTAGGTAGATAGATCTCATTGAGTAAGTTTGCAGTGCACAAGAACTGTAACACTGTCTTGCCTACTTTTGGAGTTATTGCCCTTTGTTCATTTTGACACTTTGAACTTTGTCTGGGACATTACTCTAAAATTATAAGAGATATTAACATGAAACTAGGTAGATAGATAGGTCTCATTGGGTGGAAGTGCAGTGCTTAAGAATCATTACTCTGCCTTGCCTTATTTTGAAGTAATTGCCCTTTGTTTATTTTTACTTTTTGACTTTTGTCCTGGACATTACTTTAAAACTATTAGAGATATCAACATGAAACTTTGTAGGTAGCTAGATGTAATTGGATAGAACTGCAACGCTTCAAGAAGCTAAACAAAGCCTGGTCTAATTTTGGAGTTATTGCCCTTTGTTCATTTTTTTTTATACTTTCCTGTGTCCAGAACCTTCTCGGGGAGCATCACCCGGTTCAACCGGTTCTTGTTGTTACCTGAAATGAATTATTCATAAGATTAGTGAACCAGGTAAATATCATAGGAGTTGACAAACCTTGTAGATGCTTAATTTGTTTAGATACTCTTTGTCACATTATTGCTCTAAGTTGTAATAAAATTGTTTCTATATTTGGAGAGACGTTTACACTATCATTTAGAAACATTACAACTGAAACCTACAGACTTGATTTTCTAAAAAAAAGCACTACCATACATGCCCTGAGCGACGTTAAATTACGGAATAGTGGCAAACGGTGTTAACCCTATAACACAGTTAAAATGTTGACAATTAGTTTCAGAATTGCACATGTACAGCCTGTACAGGATTCCAGGGGTTTTATTATACAGTTGTAAAATAAGGAATGAGTGTTTATAGAAGGTATTCAGTTATAATGTGAAATGTTCTGTTTTCAGTTTGATAGTGTGTCGAGTGCGTCTAAAGCGACAATAAATGCAACATCATTGACATCTAGTACAACCTCTTCAGCTATATCATCCACTGGTACGACTGTGATCAGCAGTACGACAACAAAAATCTCAACGTTGCCGTCTGCTACAGCTGCTTGTAAGTGTATCTTTTAACCTTTGACCCCTCTAGTTTGCATAATCATACAGTAATGGTCTTATATTATTCATTTATCATTTTGTGTAAGGAAGCTATCCAGGTAGCTTATGGAACGTCAGTGTTTGAACTTGAGTACTTGCTCGTGCCTGAAATAATGCACTAGAGGGCTTCTGTCCAAAATCTTTATCCACCAGTAAAGCTGAGAAGTCACCATATGACCTTATTAAAGTGTTGATGAGACTTCAAACCCCAACCAAGTTAAATATGAAATATTCAAGTTAAGAAATATCATGTTGTTTTGTTGGATTTTAGTAATGGAAACACCATGTATAGCTGTATGTATCAATTTCTTGTAATTATTTATTTAATGAAATCTCTTCCCCTTTAATTTGTATAATGGACATGTATTTCATTGAGTTTCAACTGCTAAAAAGTATATGTTGTAACATTTTCTCCAATGAATCTGCAACATGAGTTCTATCTTTTTTTAACCTACAAAAAAAATAAATGTTTGTCATGTCGAAATTCTTGCACCGCTGGTGGCTCTTGTTCTATTTGATTGTTGTTTTCTTCTATGATTAAATGACAAATACCCAATAATTAATAAAAAGAAATGTTTTATTTTATTTAAGCATCCAAAGCCCCACCCAACTTGCCACCAGGTGTACCTTTAATGTACCTTTAAAGTTCACCGTGCAGTCTGATCAGGATCCATGCTGGTCGCTATCAGTTTCTCTACTTGTAATAGAGTTGGTAAGCGAACAGCATGGATCCTGATCAGACTGCGCGAATGCCCAGGCTGGTCTGGATTCATGCTGGTCGCAAACGCACATTATGTTGGTTTTGTCATGACGTGTCTCAAATACAAAAGTTGTCTTGAGCAACCAACAGTATAGAGCCTGGTCACCTAGCATGTATGTCTGGTGGTAAAAGCTAATCCCTTATGGTTGTGGTGGTGTTAGCATCGCCACAGTAAATTTATACTTCTTCCAGGTCTTCCATCAGCAATAAAAACTGGAAAGTTAACATTATTATGTTAACTGTGTTTATATTAACCCAACCAATTTTTTATGCTCCCTGAAAAATTTCGGGGGAGCATATAGTCGGCGCCTTGTCCGTCTGTCTGTCCGTTGTCTTGTCCGGAGCATTACTTGAAAACCCTTGGAGATAATTTGTTGAAACTTCATACAGTGACACTTTGAACTTTGTCCGGAACATAACTTTAAAACTATAAGAGATATCAAGATGAAACATTGTAGGTAGATAGATCTCACTGAGTAGAGGTGCAGTGCAAAAGAACCATAACTCTGTTAAGCCTCATTTTTGAATTATCTCCCCTTTTAGAAAAATCTTGTAGTGCACAAGAATCATAATTCTGCCTTGCCTTATTCTGGAGTTATTGCCCTTAGTTTATTTTTGCTTTTTGAAATTGTTCGGGGACATAACTCGGAAATCATAAGAGATATCATCAAGAAACTTTGAGGTTGATAGATCACATTGATTAGAAGTGCAGTGCAAAGAACAGTAACTCTGCCTTGCCTAATTTTGGAATTATTGCACTTTGAACTTTTTCCAGGGACATAACTCTGAAACTACAAAAGGTGTACTTTCTGTGTCCAAAACCTATTTAATATATTCCTCATCTTTATTTATGTTAATGATTTCAATTGATTACAGGGTTTACAAGGTCTGCAGGGATTACAGCAACCCCAGCTGTGCAACTTGGAAGAATTCCAGTATCTTCAACAGAGAATGCCACCTCTTGTAAGTTTTACTATTTGTAGGTTTCATTGAGAATTCAAATTTTTATGCTGTGAATAATGATAGATTAGCAAACTACCTACAATTGGATGAATTTATTCATTTAGAATTACTTCATTGAATTATTAAACCCCCGAAACGAAGTTTGGGGGAGTATATAGGAGTTGCTTTTTGTCGGTCCAGACGTCCGTTGCATTTTCCTTGTCCATAACTTGAAGACTACTGATTGGAATTCAATATAACTACATACAATGGTCAAGCATATTGAGAGGAAGTGCAGTGAATAAGAACCATAACTCTATATTGACTAATTACAGAGTTATTGCCTTTTGTTACTTTTCCTTGTCCGGAGCATAACTTGAAAAGTACTGGTTAAAATTCAAAACAACTTCATACAATGGTCAAGCACAATAAGAGGAAGTGCAGTGCACAAGAACCATAACTCTATCTGAAGTAATTACAGAGATATTGCCCTTTGTTACCTTTCCATTGCTTTTTTTTGTCTGAAGCATAACATGAAGACTAATGGTTGGAATTCAATATGACTTCATACAATCATCAAGCACATAAAGAGGAAGTGCAGTGTACAAGAACCATAACTCTCTTGACTTATTACAGAGTTATTGCCCTTTGTTACTATTCCTTGTCCGGAGCATAACTTGAAAAGTAATGGTTGGAATTGAAAACAATTTCATACAATGGTCAAGCACAATAAAAGGAAGTGCAGTGTACAAGAACCATCACTCTATCAGTATTTATAGAGTTATTGCCCTTTTTATATGCCCGAAAGGGCATATTATGTTATACCCCCTGGCGTCCGTCCGTTAGCAATTTGTCTGTTAGCTATTTGGTTTCCGGAGCATAACTTAAGTTCCATTTGGCCCCCAATGTTCAAACTTCATAGGATTATTGTCCATATTGGGTAGATGACCCCTATTGATTTTGGGGTCAAAAGGTCAGGTCAAGTCACTATTACCTTGATACTGAAAACAGTTTCCGTCTGTTAGCACTTTGGTTTCCGGAGCATAACTTAAGTTCCATCTGTCTCACAATGTTCAAACTTCATAGGATTATTGTCCATATTAGGTAGAAGACCCCTATTGATTTTGGGGTCAAAAGGTTCAAGGTCAAGGTCACTATTACCTTAAAACTTAATAACAATTTCCGGAGCATAACGTAAGTTCCATTTGACCCACAATTATCAAACTTAAAAGGATGATTGTCCATATTGGGTAGAAGACCACAATTGATTTTTGGGTCAAAAGGTTAAAGGTAAAGGTCACTATTACCTTGATACTGAAAACAGTTTCCGTCCGTTAGCAATTCGTCCGTTAGCAATTTGGTTTCTGGAGCATAACTTAAGTTCCATTTGGCCCACAATGTTCAAACTTCATAGGATGATTGTCCATATTGGGAAGAAGACTCTTATTGATTTTGGGGTCACAAGGTCAAAGGTCAAGGTCACTATTACCTTTAAACTGAAAACAGTTTCTGGAGCATAACTTAAGTTCCATTTGACCCACAATGTTCAAACTTCATAGGATGATTGTTTATATTGGGTAGAAGACCCCTATTGATTTTGGGGTCACAAGGTCAAAGGTCAAGGTCACTATTACCTTGATACAGAAATCAGTTTCCCAGAGCATAATTTAAGTTCCATTTGACCCACAATGTTCAAACTTCATAAGTTGATTGTCCATATTAAGTAGAAGACCCCTATTGATTTTGGGGTCAAAAGGTCAAAGGTCAAGATCACTATTACTTTGATACTGAAAACAGTTTCCGGAGCATAACTTAAGTTCCATTTGACCCACATATTCAAACTTCATAGGATGATTGTCCATATAAGGTAAAATACCCCTATTGATTTTAGGGTCACAAGGTCAAAGGTTAAGGTCATTATTAATGACTTAAATATTAATCAACCTACATCTGTAAAATTTTATAAGATGAACAGCTAATTCCCATGTCTAATGAATGTTTCATCCTTACTAAAAAAAAAAAAAAACTTTCGGGCATATAATGCTCTGCCTAGCGGTGCTCTTGTTTACCTTTCCATTGCTTTTTTCTTGTCCAGAGCATAACTTGAAAACTACTATTCAATACAATTTCATACAATGGTCAAATATATTGAGAGGAAGCGCAGTGCACAGAAACCATAACTCTTTCTTGACTCAATTAATCTTGGAATTTAATACAACTTCATACAATGGTCAAGGGAAATGAGAGGAACTGCAGTGTACTATAACCATACCTCCATCTTTAGTATTTTTAGAGTTATTGCCCTTATTTCCTTTTCCTTGTCTGAATTATAACTTAAAAACTAATGTTTAGAATTCAATGCAACTTCATACAATGGTCAAGCCAAATGAGAGGAAGTGCAGTGCTCAAGAAGCGTAACTCTTTCTGGCCTTATTACAGAGTAATTCAATAAAACTTCATCATTGGTCAACCACATTAAAAGGAAATGCAACATACAAGAACCACAACTATCTATAATTGCCCACAACCATAACTCTATTTTAATTCTTTAGCAAGGTATTCTGTTACTAGTAACTTTCTCATTTCTGAAGCAGTCTTGGGGGGGAGGGGGAGGGTATTAATCACATTTAATGATAGTTCTAGTTTGCATTGAAGTATAATAGATTTTTGAATCACATTGGAAGGAATGCCATGCGCATTTAAGAGTTTTAGTATTACTGGAAAAATTCATAGTTGTTTTTTGTTTCTTTAGAACATCTATATATATATATGGTTATGTAAAGCTATATTATAATGTTTGGCTATGTTTTACAGGTTAATTGATATTGCTTGTGACGCAAAACTCGGACAGTCAGAATTTGATCTGAGAAAGTTGGCAGAACCGCTCAAATGCCAAAAAACAGGAACAGGAGAATCCAGAAGGTGAGTCTCGAAATATGTTAGAAACAGCAAATATTTAGAGAATTAACATAATTTTGTTTGTGAAATTGTGTAAGATGTAAGTAAATAGTGACTGTTTAAGATGTCAGTATTGACCAAGAGAGAGTTTAAGACTTATATGTTATGTATGCTGTTTACACATTAGTATCTTTCTCAAATTTGTCGGAACAAAGGTTTATATTTTTTACACTTAAGCATTTCGCTCCTCGTCCATAACATGATTATACATTATTGTGTCAAACAATATAATGATATATACAATGTTGATCCACTGTTTACATTATATATTGATCAGTGTGCTATCATTGTATGTTTGTACTTTTCATAAAAGGTTACCAAGATAATGTGTTTGGTTATATTATGTAAAGACACAAGTCTTTTATTACTTCAGGGACAGGCAACAAGAAAGGATCTCCAAGAATCCTATGTAAAATTGGAAGTGTAAATGTCAACTTTCAATCCATCCTGAAAGCCAATGCTGAACTGGAACCCTTAGTCAGATATATACCTAAAACCAAAACAGAACGTAAAAAGTAAGTTCTAGGAGGTGTCTGGAATAAAAATACTAACAGTAAAGGATGTGTAAACAAAAAGTATTTTGACTATAAATAGTTACAGATCTACCCCTTTTTGCATTGAAAAAATAACAATGAAGATTGTCATCAAAGTATCGCCTCCTTATTTGAAATGAAACTTAAATGTAATCATTTTGATAATTATGCATATTGTCTTTGCAAATATTTATTAACATAATGATATTTATTAAGTTTGTTAATGATACCATAAGAACTTTAATATCTTCCAAAGTTTTTTAACGAATGAATGAATGAATATTGGACCATTTCTAATATATTTTTTTATTGAGATGTCAATGACTTTATTGTAAAGTATTCAAATGTAAAGTTTTATCAGAGTTATTATAGTAAAGTATGCATGTATTATGTAGGTTCCGTATAGACTTCCATACTAAGAAGGAACAGTATGACTGTAATTGGGACGTTGAGGATGACTCAAACCTTCTCAAGGGTATATATGAGTATGGTATGGGTAACTGGGAAAAAATCAAAATGGACCAAGAGCTTGGCTTGTATGATAAGGTATTTATCTTCTCTCTCTCGGTTTGATATTTGAGCCGCGCCATGACAAAACCAACATAATAAGTTTACGACCAGCATGGATCCAGACCAGCCTGCGCAGTTGCGCAGTTTGATCAGGATTTATGCTGTTTGCTTACAAACCCTATAAAAAGTAGAGAAACTGACAGTGAACAGCATGAATCCTGATCAGACTGCGCAGATGCGCAGGCTGGTCTGGATCCATGCTGGTCGCAAACCCACTTTGTTGGTTTTGTCGTGACACGGCTCTTTTTATTTCTGAGTTAAACATGTTTCTATCTTTCTGATAAGATTTAAATTGTATTTTAATTTTGTTGAAGAATACAAAGTTTTCATAACAAGTCATGATTGAGCGACATGAAGAAATGGTGACATATAAACATAGGAATATAATAGCCACAACATACTTGAATTATTGTAAGTCATTGCAGCTTGGCATATTATTGTTATGTAAATTCTATGATTTATTTGCTGATTTCATACTTCAGCACAATCCTACCTTATATCTTTACTTAGCATGATGATTGTATCCAGTTAACTGACTGGCTCTGTTGATAATAGATTGCTTTGATTAAATTTCCAGATCAAATGCTTAATATATTAACAGAGCACCCAGCAGTATTGAGCGTTCATCTTGTCAGCCTGCACTTATAGAAGTATAAGTCTGCCAGGTCTCTTGTTTTAGACCGTGTAGCATTTATTTTGAAAAAAAACACCAGTTATTGACAAGAGATGTTTTCATTATTTCAGATTTTACCAGACGGAGGTAAAACTCCACAAGCAAAACAATTAAAAACAAGAGCGGATTATCTTCTTAGGAAAATAAAGAAACATTTAGATGGTGGGGCTGTTGGTGAAAGTCCATTTTTGAAATGTTGACTACATTTTTTTTTATATTTACGATATGTTCATTTTTTTTTTATAAAGATGCTTTAGAAGATAACTTTTTCTTGTTCTAGTAATATTATGTGAGTTCTTTCCCTTGGTTAAGTTTGATGGACTTAATTTCATGTATTCAGTTGTATGTACGTTTTATTAGCATGTAGATGATAAATGTTATATAAAGTGTCTTTTGATTTTTAGCTCACCTGTCACAAAGTGAGAGGGTGAGCTTTTGTGATCGCTTTTCGTCCAGCGTCCGTCCGTAAACCTTTGCTTCAAATGACATCTCCTCATAAACCACTCAGCAAATTTCATCCAAACTTCACAGGAATGTTCCTTTGGTGGTCACCTTTAAAAATTGTTCAAAGAATTTAATTCCATGCAGAACTCTGGTTGCCATGGCAACCGAAAGAAAAAAACTTTAAATATCTTCTTTTAAAGAACGCAAAGAGCTAGAGCTTAGATATTTGGCATGAAACATCTTCTAGTGAATGTCTACCAAGTTTGTTCAAATAAAAGCCCTGGGGTCAAAATTGACCCTGCCCCAGGGGGTCATAGATTTTCCCTATATGCATATAGTAAAAACTTAAAAAATCTTCTTTTAAAGAACCCAAAGAGCTAGAGCTAAGATATTTAGCATGAAACATTTCTAATGAGTGTCTACCAAGTTTGTTCAAATAAAAGCTCTGGGGTCAAAATTGGCCCCGCCCCAGGGGGTCATTGATTTTCCCTATATGCATATAGTAAAAACTTAAAAAATTTTCTTTTAAAGAACTCAAAGAGCTAGAGCTAAGATATTCAGCATGAAACATGTTCTAATGGGTGTCTACCAAGTATGTTCAAATAAAAGCCCTGGGGTCAAAACTGGCCCCGCCCGGGGGGGGGGGATGTCATTGATTTTCCTTATATGTGTATAGCAAAAACTTAAAAATCTTCTTTGGAAAAACCCAAATAGCTAGAGTTTAGATATTAAGCATGAAACATCTTTAAGTAAATATCTACAAAGTTTGATCAAATAAACGCCCGGGGGTCAAAACTGGCCCTGCCCCAGGGGTGACATTGTTTTAAACTATATGTGTATAGTAAAAACTTTAAAAATCTTCTTTTAAAAAAGCCAATGAGCTAGAACTTAGATGTTTAGCATGAAACATCTTCTTATGGGTGTGTACCAAGTCTGTTCAAATAAACAAATAAAAGCCCTTGGGTAAAAATTGGCCCGGGGGTGGGGGGCCTATATACAGGTGAGCGACCTGAGGGCCATCATGGCCCTCTTGTTTTTTTTGTCGATTAAAATATACCCCTAGACCCATAGCCAAATCAGTTGTTTTAATAAGCACATCTGTTGCCTGAGATAAAAAATTAAAAACCCTCAGCATGCATGGAGTATCTGATCCAGTACTGTGGCAGTGCTAATTTATAACTAGTTTATGTGTACTGTATTTTCAGGAAAGAAAACCGCAAGGAGGAGCTAAAGAATGAAATTCCTCCAGAACCTGAGAATGGTCATGCTGAATCTGTTTGTGTTGTTCTAAAACACCTAATGGAACAAGAATAGAGAGGCTGTTTTTGAAGTCTCGGTCATTAAAAGTAAATTTATTTTCACTTTTTGCTAAAAATCATCTCTCATATATTTAATTACCTAGAATAATATGAGATTTTCATGATATCAGTTCTATCAAACTTTGGTTCAAATTTAATAGAAAATTCAAATTTTATTTGTTTGATTTGAAATCTGGTATATTCATATGCACATGAACTGATCTGAATTTAAAGTACTGTATATGTATGTTCTCTATTATACTTACTTTTGAAGTTATTGTCTTTAATATTTTTCATACTCGAATTCTCTTAGGGTTAAGTAAACAAATTTTTTCTTTGATCACCTTAAACATGATAGTTACAATAAATTACTTTGGCATTATGAGAATTATGACCATGTTTGACCATTGTTTTCAGGCATGACATTAAGAGCCATTATATCCCCGTAGTTGTTTATTTCACTTCCTTTACCTGAAATGTGGTATAATGTTTTGTTGTTTTATATATTTCAGTATCTGTATTATTTCACATTCTGTCATGAAGATTGTCCAGATGATTGTCCACATTGTTACAAACTTCCTGAGAAAGACATTACCATGTGAACCAACAAGTGAATATCCTGAACCAATAACATATGAAGAAGCTGGATTAGGAAAGAATGAAATGCTTTTTGTCCAAGATAATGAATCTTGAATGGCAGATAATATGATATTCTGTGATATTAGAACACAATGCAATGTTCATGCTTGAAGATACTTCGTCTAAGTGTAAAAAATGTGTAAATTCAAGATCTTTTTATGGGAAAGATGATATTGTAAGGGTGGATATTGTCCATCTTTCTGTCCATTTTCCTGTTGTGATCAATATCTTACAACCAGTTGTTCAGATTGTTATTTGAAATGAGACGGAATTTTGTTTAAAATGCCATCATGATCCAACACATTGTTGAGGAGTTATTGCCCTTTGTTATTTAAAAATAGAAAGTGTCACGCTGCATAATTTCAGTTTGAGCCGTAACTTTGTTAGACTTTATTCAATGTGGCCATACCACATGACTTTTCGGGTACGGAACACGCCGTTTTTTCACCCGATTCAGGTATGTTTTTTATTCATAACTTATTTATTACTCAACCGATTTTGATCAGATAAGGCGCAGAGTACCCGTAATTATATCAGTTATCCACGGTAAATCAAAATTCTGAAAACCCCTGAATGGTTTTTGAGAACATTCGAGTACAGTTTTCTTTTCATAGCCTGGGCCGAGGGGAACGGTACACACTCATTTGGCATAACAGGCGATTTCTAGCAAGTCATATGTTTTTTGACACAATTTCATACAAAAATACATGTTAAATCTGATATATTTACTATGTCCAATGTATCGAGTGAATGTAGTGATGTTTTAGCATATTTTCATAAAGTTATGTTGAAATGATACGGAACACACTGTTATTTCAAAAGATACGGTTACACACACAATTTCTGTCTTTGAAACAATTCTAAAATAAAATATATAAAAAAAAATAATTTAAATTATAATGTGACTGATTTTTTCATAGTTATACATTTTATTAATTTAAACGAGAACCCTGGGACCTTGTTTTGCAAAAGTATCATTATGCCTACAGTTTTGATGTAAACAGGATTATTCAAAAAAAATAAAAGAACATTTTTGAGAGTACGTGCGCGCAAAATTCGATTTTATATGTTTGAGCAATTAATATTTGGCTATAAAATGTTAAAATTTTAGGGAGGGATACGGAGACATTCAAAAATTTTGTTTTGTTTTGATTTTCATTTGAAACAATTAGGTATATTCTTTTGGATTATAAAACGAATTGTGAAATTCAAGGACATCTGTTATGTGCGATTATTATTTCATTTAATTTGTTTGTTCGAATATATAAATGACTGTCTAAACGTAGTATGAATATATTAACAAACAATTAGAAGTTACGAATAAGTTGGAAATTTATGTTCCTTGCAAAATGTTGTTTAAATAATCGAATTTGGAGAAAAAACGCTGGTTTTGATGTAAGTGGATTTTTTTAAATCACGGAAAGTTTAAAGTTTTTTTCGGCCACATGATATTTGGTATGAATCATCTGCCAGGGTCCCAAACTAACTGCATACATGTATCTAAATTATCAAATTATCTACATATGGACAAATATATTTCGCAGTTTTACGTGCAATCAAAATTAATAATTTGATAATTTGAAGAACCCATATGGGAACAAGGCCTGTTATATAACGTAACGTAGTTTATACAAGGTAACCTTGTTACATATACGTGTACATGTAAGGATATACATGTTAGGAAATTTGGTAAAATTATGCCTATCTTGGACTTTCATTTCAAGATGCATTTAACACTCGAGTTCATGGATATATGTGCTTGCGTGTTTGTGTTAAAAATAAAATGATATTTTAATAATACCCATTTTGTCAATCAAATGCTATGGATTTTGGAGGCTGCGTTCTGTTTTATATACTACATGAAGTAGGTATACGAGACTACAAGTGACTTCGATGTTTCGATTTTTTTATGTGAGAAAGTTTTCTTACTACAGTACAGAATGTCGGTCGTTTTACTCAGGTGCCCGTTCGTTCCTTTATTTATACCCAAAGGGGCACTTGTAAAACTCGAAAGTCGCCACATGATAATGTCAGTTTTATGAGCCGTGAAACCAAACCAAAACTGACCTAATTACATGAATTAAAAGTTATTTTTAAAGCTTCATGCCTTTAAACATTAAAAATTTAAGCAATGGCGACTACATTTTTATTTGTTTGGGTCGTCAGACCAAACAAAAAATGGTAGCGAAATTTCAGGCTCTGATATGCTTATTTGTAAAATAAGAAAGTAGTCCAAACCCCTGGAAGCGGTTACTTACCTTTATATGTTCTCTTACGCTGAAAAAATAAGGGGGGATCACTGTGTTAAGATTGTCAAATGACTCAAGCCTTCTCGGGAGAAGAAAAAGTAGTTCCCGATTGGTCAAAGATTTCAAATAATGTGTAATTCTTTACAGATATACAAGTAATATTAAGCTCCATGATTATTTACATCAGTGTCAAACGAAATTAATAAGGGTTACAAACCCTAATTTACAATGATATGGTTTTCTTCAGGCTGTTATCTTATAATTTCCCCGTGGTCGAAGGGTTACACGTTCGTTTAGGAAGATAGATGTCCTGAGTTCAAATCCAAGTTTAGGCAACTCATGTTTTTTTGTCTTTGTTTTTAATTGTTTAAGCCAAATAAACAATGAATTACATATCAGTGTTGCAATAAGCCTTATAGCCAATTTACTACAGTTATGACACTTGAAACAACATTGGTGGAACTATACAAAAACAAATTGGTTTACAATCTCACAGCCTTCACCTTTCTGACATTCTGAGACCCAAACAAATTCAGCGCCTTCTGTGAATTGATTTAATTAAACATGACCATGATATTGCAAAATTGTACCTAATAACTTGCTTATTATTAAAAAAATATAAATATATATAAATTGCTATCAAGTAATGATACTTTTCAGCGATTTAGGTCATGACCTTGTTTTATTTTTTCAGGATGAAGCAGAAAGACATATCTTACTTCACTTAAACTAAAATAAATAAAAAACAATAAACAACAATAAACATAGCATTTTATAACAACATTTTCTTTCTATAGAGCGCAACTACCTGATTCAGTGTTTAACATACCCTAGGTGATTTTAAATAGGACAATTACATGGAGGTTGTAAATGTTAAGCGTGATCTCTTGAAATATAGTGCACAAATACATATAAACATTAAAAGTAACCATTATGATACATTACAAAACAGGTCCCTGGGTTCTCGTTTAAATCAATAAAATGTAAAACTATGAAAAAAAATCAGTCACATTATAATTTAAATTAAATTTTAATATATTTTATTTTAGAATTATTACAAAGACAGAAAATGTGTGTGTACCGTATCTTTTGAAATAACAGTGTGTTCCGTACCATTGCAACATAACTTTATGAAAATATGCTAAAACATCACTACATTCACTCGATACATTGGACATAGTAAATATATCAGATTTAACATGTATTTTTCTATGAAAAAGTGTCAAAAACATATGACTTGCTAGAAATTACTTGTTATGACAAATGAGTGTGTACCGTTCCCCTCGGCCAAGGCTATGAAAAGAAAACTGTACTCGAATGTTCTCAAAAACCATTCAGGGGTTTTCAGAATTTTGATATACCGTGGATAGCTGATATAATTACGGGTACTCTGCGCCTTATCTGATCAAAATCGGTTGAGTAATAAATAAGTTATGAATAAAAAACATACCTGAATCGGGTGAAAAATCGGCGTGTTCCGTACCCGAAAAGTCACGTGGTATGGCCACATTGTTATTTATACTTGACTCATTATAAATAAATATATAGGCACATGATAAATGAAATTAAAAAACATATTTATTTTTAACTTATGAGAAACCTAGACAAAACCAGTGCAACTCCAGTTTAGATAATAAGGCAATGTTGTGTTTTCAACTTACAATAATATCATTAATGATAATCTTTTTCTATTTTAAACTTATTAGTATTTGGTCAAATTTCTAGTGATTAAACTGAATGATATTTTGTCGAATTTGTAGTGATCTTTATATTTTAAACTGTTTGATGTTTTGTCAAATTTTTATTAATCTTTATATTTGAAAACAAATGATATTTGGTAAAATTTCTGATCTTTAGTTTATTTTTAAAAGCTTATTTTTTTCTGAGAAGAATTGTGTAACGTTATAGTTTGGAGAAGTCACTCCTTAAAAAAAAAAAGTTTAATTATTTGTTTAATTTGTAACTACTTGTTTAGCATTGCCAAATAAATCTGGTTGGATTTTCATTCCTAATCATGGGATTCATTGATTTGGAAACGTATCATTTTTATCTCAAAATGACATTTATTGTGTGGAATAACGGAAATTAGCCTGTTATTAGTCAACAATACATAAGCGGATATATATTTAATATAATTAGCTGTCACCGGACACTATGCTTAATTTAGTTAATTGATGGGCCTGTCATCACTTAAGCGGGGATTTGTACCTATATCGTGCAAACATAATTGAGTCGTGTCATGACAAAACCAACGTAATGCATTTGCGACCAGCATGGATCCAGACCAGCCTGCCCATCCGCGCAGTCTGATCAGGATCCATGCTGTTCGCTTACAAACCCTTTTACAAGTAGAGAAACTGATAGTGAACAGCATGGATCCTGATCAGACTGCGCAGAAGCGCAGGCTGGTCTCGATCCATGCTGGTCACAAACGCACTATGCTGGATTTGTCATGACACGGCTCAATTGTTTATTTAATTGTTAGCTGTCCATTAATGCATATATACTTTATGAATTGTGAAGTTATTAAGTCTTAGGCGTATATTATTTAAGTGAGCAAAATATTATGTTATTCAGTGTAGTTTTTGATGTTAAAACAGACTCACACACTTAGGTTAAATTATGCTAAATACGCAATTGACATTGATTCTTATTGTTTTACGTATTTGTATAAGAATTGTGAAATTATTAAAGACATTGGTTAAGCAATTGTTTTATCTTATAGAATAATATTTTATATCTTATAGAATAATAAATATAATATATCTGACGTTTATAAACTTGATATTGTGTTGACTTATTCATATTGAGTTATTCAGATCTGAGCGTTACACTACAATTGTAAGAGCTATATTGCTTGTCTTTATGAAATAAATATATCAAACTGATTTCACTTGCTTATCAATGATGCATGTTTTGTCCAAAAATAATGATCTGCCATTTTTGCATACTTTATCCATAAATTAATTAAGACGATTGGTTTTAATGTTTTTAGCTGTATCACCAAAGCGTAAAAATAGTCATTACCACAAGGGAAAATCATTACTAATACCATTGTATAGAAAATATTTAAGTGCTTTTATTCAACATCAATCGTAACAACTCGGCAACCTCTGTCAAGTTCGGAGATTGACCTCGTATGTAAGTGTAGGAACACACCAAATTGTTATACGG